TCTTGGCTTAACAGCTTTGGTCACCTTGCACTTTCATTGTTTGGAAACATGTGGGTGTGTGAACAGTGACATTTTTTCATTAACGTGTGATCTATTCCTTTGATTAAATGTGATAATCTATCTGGCGCGCTCTATATATGTGGCATCAGTAGATCTGATGTCATTACTGCTGAGACAGCGGCAGAAGCGTTTCTGTGTGTAATCTTGTCCCCCTGCTGTTAATCATTCTGAGAGACGATTTTCTGTAGGGAATTACTAATATCTACGTCTGTCTGAATTAAATGCGTCCATCATCTCGTCCGGAGCAGAGTGTGTGTGAAAGGCGACTGCTGCTGTTCGCGTTTATCTTTAAAGGCGAGCGCTGGAGACGGAGGAACGACTGTCCCGCATGAGAGTCAGCAGTTATCGTTCACACCGTACGTACAGATGTCTGCGGGAACAATCGGAGCCTGACGACAGCGTCCTTTAATTACTGAGACAGCAACGAAAACCCACCTGTCAATCAAACAGAGGACTAAAACATCTCCAGGTTTCTCTTTAACACCCTGGAAAGACTGACATATTAAATAATAATCGGAAAAATCAATTTTTTTTTAAAAATGGAACAGTTATTAAACCTTTAGACACGTTTTTTTTTTTTAAGTCAGAAAAAAAAGTTTGCATTTGTCTTTGTTGAGTATCGTATTTGAAACCTCATATAGTCTGATAAAGTGAGAATGTGGTGGGGTTTTGTTTCTTCAGAGGCCAAAACAGCAAAAATATGCAATTTGTTGCAGCTGTTGATATTTAAACGAGCAAAATAAGATGAAATTCTGATTGCTTGTAATGTAAATCAATGAGATCTTTATCACAGTACAACTTGCATTAATACGCTATAACACTTTATATCTGCCAATATCTTATGCTTATTTTATGATTAAAGCTCTGCAGGTTTAAAACGTATAATGCAATACAATACAATGATGCTTGAGTGATGAACAAATAAACCTTCCTTAAAAAAAAACCTGATGATCATATTTAATACTCACATTTTAACATGATTTTTTTCAGCAAATACACTGAATAAAAGTTACACCATACATAAAATTGATGTATGGATAATCAAGTTAAACCGAAGTTGCTTCAGTCCAGTAAGTGTTCATCTTGAAATATTATACAATATAAGTTATTTTTATTAACTTTATAAAAATCAGTAAAGATTTCACAGCAAAAAGACCACGAGCTGAAGCGGGACATTTTTACAATTATACTAAAAGGCTTTTTACTTCCTAAAGGTATAAACTATCAATCAGACGACATGTAGTAGATTGTGTACAACAGGATTTTCAGCAAAGTTTTGATCATGTTGATCATTTAGACACCTTAGAAATGTAGGCTTCATTGTTAAGCTGCTTGATTAACTGAGTTTTTACATTGTGCTATAGATATGGAAATCAGTGTAAATTTAAATGTCAAACATGGTCTGATTTCTCCCTCATTAGTCTCTAGTAAATGTTCTTCGGTGACATGTCATGAACTGAACTGAACAACTAGTTAATGCAGTGCTTTAGAGTCTCCACTGTAGTTTCTCGCACCCGTCCAGTGATCTCGAGCGGTTACCCGACATTACAGTCGAGAGAACATGTTGTTTAAACGCAGCGGATCACGAGCTAAGCCTTGACTATTTAACATAACCTCAACCAGTACATGTGTGAATCAAAGAGATGCTCCTGGTTAAATGGCTGACACACGTTTCTTGTCTTATTTAGACTCTAGTATATAGACTCTCTCTATATATATACCCTATGGCCGCCACAAACAAACATGTTAAACATGCATTTAGTTGTATTGAGTTACTGTGGTAACAAACCTCAGAAAGGTGCTGATAGAATCAAATATTTAACATTTAAATAGATGTTATTCTGTTTAGATTTAGTTTGTTATCATTAAACTGTTGCTCTAGTATGACAATAGTTGATCTGAAAGACAATCTGACCATATTAGAAGATGAATTGCGTTTTTGCTTGCTCACACACACACACACACAAACATTTCAATTTCTAGATTTGTCTTTCTTCTTCTCTGCTCTCAGATCTGGGTATTTATCTGAGGAACAAGGACACCCAGTGTGTGTGTGTGTGTGTTATCAGTTTCTATCAGCCAGGTGGCTTATTCTGAAAAGCCATTTCCCTCCTGACACTCGCCAATTTTGAGTTTGCAGGTTTGCGCTGATGTTAGTGGAAATAGAAGTGACATGTTTCTGTCACAAAACTATAACAATACAATTCAGCTGTAATATTGCACTTTAACCAACACACACACTTCAGTTTGACTCCTGCAGACTTCCACTTTTATTCTGAAGTTGAACATGCACTTGTTCTGTGTAAGTAGCCGATATGGTAATATTTCAAGATGATTTCACTGAGGTCCTTTTCATAACTGCAGCAATGCGTTTGCATATTTATATCGTGTGTGTGTGTGTGTTTATGATGCTTTACTCCACTTAATTTCTAAACTACTTGTTCTACATAGGGTCATGGGAATTTTATTTTATTTATTTTATTTTAAGCCACTTGTAGGGTCGTGGTGATTTTATTATTATTTATTTTATTTTACAAACTGCTTGTTCTATGTGGGGTCATGAGAATGCTGGTGTATTATATTATATTATTTTATATTATTCATTCATTACATATGTTTTCCAAATGACTTGTCTCATGTAGGGTCGTGGAGATGCTGGAGCCTTTATTTTTATTTAATTTTATTTTATTCACTTTATATTTAGACTTTTATATGTTAAACATATAAAACTTAGCAAGCACATGATATACTTCAGTTTGCACATTGTTTGAAGATCTTTGGAAAAGTGGTGAAATATAAAAAAAAATCTACATATTTAATGATTATCGAAATAGCTGTTAGTTGCGGCCTACATTTATGCCACACTTTTTGATTTTCTTCTCAGAGGTTTCTTAGATTTACTGCAGTGGCTGTTTCACCAGTTTCAAAGAGTCTGTCAACTGGCTAATCTTCAGACATTTCTTATTAAAAATACACTTTGTTAATGTTTTTCCCAGTCCACCGTATTTACTGGACACATACAGAGAGACACATGCTGAAGGTAATCTCTATAATCCTCCCTACTGGCACTGTGTGTTTCTGCTGCTTTATGAATAGTGTAAACCAGAGTTATGATTGCAATACAGAATACACACACACACACAAACAAACACGGATGTGATGTATCATAGCACAGATATATCTGCCTTCCTCCAGTAGAATAGAGGAATTACACTGCTGTGTTATCTCCGTCCTGCTAGAGAAGTGTGATTCACACAACTACCAAAATAATCCAACACTTTCAGATAGAGACACATACAGGATTATATAGGGAACAGTGTGTGTGTGTGTGTGTGAGAGAGAGAGAGAGAGAGTATAGTGCTGTAAGATTGCATATAGACCAAAAACAAGACTTTGCAACAAAAACTAAATCGCTTGCATTGCTGTCAATAGAGCTGTCGCTTCAGCTTAAGATGAAAGATGCCCTGTTAAATAAACTGGCATTTACATGGATTTATTTTTGTGCATTTTTATATATTTAAAAAGAAAACCTCCTTGCATCTTGTGATGTTTCTGGCTCACTAACCATCTTTTATTTCTAACCATATGTGTGTGTGTGTGTGTGTATATATATATATACATATATACAGTTAAAAGGGGTTTGCGGTTCTGAAATATCTCACACAAAGTCATATTTTGTACCAATGCAGTTGAAAATAAAAGTGAGAAGTCTACAATAAACAATAAACAAAGTACAATACAAATAAACATTCTTAAATAAAATACATTTACTTGAGAGGCAAAATAACTTAAGATATTAGGTCTTGTTTACTGAAAAAAACTGACCCCACTGCTATTTTTTTCTTGTCTTAAGCATACACTTAAAACAATTTTGGTATATTTTCAGAAAGCAAGACTTAATATCTTAAGTCATTTTGCTTCTCAAGTAAATGTCTCTTGATTTAAGAATGTTTTGATATTTTTAATGGAAAACAAGGCTAAACAAGAAATACAGTTTAGTTCTACCATGATAAACCATTTAAATGGCAATTATTTCACAGGCGTACGAGGGAGTCACATGACTATGTTACAGTGTGGCAAATAATATTGAGGAAGCGACATCATTTTATTCATGTCGTTCATTTAGAGCGGTTCTCTGAAACAAGCCTCCATTATGTCAAAAACTCACATTCTCATCACGATAAAAGTGTAAAATTACAGCCCTACGGCAATGTTCAATTCCTCCTTGTAAATTCAGAAATGTCGATTCAGATGAGAATTAATTTAACATGCAACCCCGATGTTTGTCAAAATCACTAGATTGTTCAGCCTGGAAGTTTCTCCTGCAGTCTTTGGAGAAAATCATTGACATTTCTGTTTCAGACGGCAATAAAATCACATTCTAGCGGATGTAATTGCTGAAATTACCTTAAACCCTCACACAAATAACAACTACCATTTGAATAAAGCTCTTGATTTTATTCTGGCGAGGTTTCCCTTCTGTTTTAATCACACATACACTTCTTTAAAAAGAACAATCATAAATGAGATCTCTTTCATATCTCAACTACTTCTCCTAGATAGTGATGAGATTTCAATATGAGCTCAAACATTTCTCATCGACAGATCTGAGCTGTTCCATTTGATGTATGTCACAACTAGCGAGTCTATCATTTTAGGAGAAACATCTTTACGCTCAAATGAAACAGACCAGTGAACTCCATTAAGTCTCCTGAGTCATAAAAGAGAAGCATCTGAGCAATAAAAAAAGTTTAGTCACTCTGTACCGGGACTATAAATGTTTCTTTGTACATACGTTTATAAATAAAGCGAAAGGAAATGAATATTGTTTAAAGAGCTGAATGTAATCAGCGTTCCTCAGTTCAGTGTCAGACAGATATATATATATCATCAGAACACAGACGTGCTCATATAAACCGTGTGCTTGTGTGTTTGTTTAGGCTGCAGTGATGCTGATTTGAGAAGTTTAGCATCCAGACTCAAAGACTGGTTCGGGGTTTTGCACACGGACGCCAACAGAGACCTGAAGACCACCACGAGCGACACTGCACAAGGACGTAAGTGAGCCTCTGTGTGTTTGAATATGGTAAAACATTTATTCAATTGAAGCTCAGAGTCACAACTAGAGCTTTAACTGATTATTTGCATGTTTATGTACCCGATATCTGATATGCAGAAGTTATTGCGATAGTTATTGTTTTACTTCTGTTTTGAGAGTGCAGAAAAAAGAAAGTGTCTTTTTTAAATGAAAGCTTCGATCAGGTAAGTAAACAGGTAACAAATAAAGCACGGGAAAATAATTCTAACAAATAAAATAAAATAAAACATTCTACACTGCCTGAATAATAAAAAAAGCATTGCTACTTTAGTGTATCTTAGTACTCTTTCATCTTTGGATTTTTTAACAACAGCAGCGACACTCATATTAAAGGTAGACTTCACCTCTGGAAAGATGAATGTGTATTTAAAATGGGTCATTTATGTAGAAGAAATGTGAAATTATTTTTGAATTTGGAGCTTTCTAGACTGAGAAAAGCCAGAAACGTCTCAGGTTACTACTGTAACCATAGTTCCCTGAGAAAGGGAACGAGACGATGCGTCATCGACGCTTTGGGAACGCCCCCAGCGTGAATGCGTCTGAGCATCAATGTCAACTAGTCCAATGGAAAGAATGAGCGTCACGGGCGGGTGACGTCATGACCAGGAAGGCATAAGAGCACATCCGGTGAAACGCGGCATTAGCTTCAAAAAGTCGAAGCAAGCCGATCACAGGGATGCAGGAAGTATGGCAGGGTGACGCATCGTCTCGTTCCCTTTCTCAGGGAACTATGGTTACAGTAGTAACCTGAGACGTTCCCTTTCGAGGGAACTCGCGATGCGTCATCGACGCTTTGGGAACGAGAATACCCAAAACGCCAGAATTCCAAGTACCTGAGTGTCAGTCTGTTGGAACTAAGCACTAAGCACCTGAGAACCTGGGGCAGCATCCAGGTCCAAACTGTAAAACCTGACGAATGTGAGCGGTGAGGACCAGCCTGCCACATCACAAACGTCTTGGAGAGAAACCCCAAATAACAAGGCTTTAGAGGCCGCCATACCCCTCGTAGAGTGAGCTCTGACCACCAAGGGACACGGATGGTCAGAGTACTCGTATGCAAGTGAAATAGCCTCGACTATCCACTTACTAACCGTCTGTTTAGAAGCAGGAAGACCCTTCTTAGGTGATCCAAAGCAAATAAATAACTGGTCGGACTTCCTCATTGAAGATGTCCGATGAACATAAGTATCCAGTGCTCGCACTGGACACAAGAGGTTCAGCCTTTCCTGGTCCGCAGATGTAAAAGGAGGAGGACAGAAAGCCTGCAGCACAATAGGCCTCGGAATCAAGGTCGGCACCTTAGGGACGTATCCCTGTTTCGGATATAAGAATGCCTTGACCATCCCCGGTGCAAACTCAAGGCAGGTGGGGGAAACCGAAAGGGCCTGAAGGTCTCCAACTCTCTTAAGGGAAGAAATAGCTAGCAGAAAGATAGTCTTGAGGGTAAGAAATTTCTCTGAAACCGAATCTAAGGGCTCGAACGGAGCCCTAGACAGGCCTTCTAGTACTATAGCAAGATCCCAAGCTGGCACCTTAGTGCGAGTTGCAGGCCTCAGCCTCAATGTGCCACGAAGGAAACGTGTAATCAGGGGGTCTCGACCCAACGATGTACCCCCCACCAGGGCGTGGTAAGCCGCAATGGCCGCCACGTAGACCTTGAGCGTGGAAGGACATAGACCTGACGTAAAGCGCTCCTGCAGGAACTCGAGTACTGTGTTCACAGAACAGTTAACTGGATCCCACTGATGTCGGTGACACCATACAGAAAAAACTCTCCATTTAAGCGCATAAAGTTTCCTAGTAGCTGGAGCTCTGGAGCTTAGGATGGTCTCAGCAGCCTCAGCTGAGAGACCACTCTCTATGAGTTGGGCCCCCTCAGAGGCCAAACCCACAGGTTCCAAATCTCTGGTCGAGGGTGAAATATTGTGCCCCCGGCCTGAGACAGAAGGTCTCTCCTGATCGGGATCTCCAAGGGAGGACCGTCTAAGAGATGGATCAGGTCCGCAAACCAGATCCGACTCGGCCAGCGTGGTGCTACAAGCAGTAGGCTTATTCCGTACTGGCGGACTCGTTCCAGAACTCCTGGGAGCAGAGCAACAGGGGGAAATGCGTACAGACGTAGCCTCGGCCACATCTGCACCATAGCATCCAGCCCCAGGGGGGCTGGGTGAGTAAGGGAGAACCAAAGTGGACAGTGCGTCGTATGCTGAGACGCAAACAGATCCACCTCTGCTTGGCCGTAAAACTCCCAAATTTTCTCCACCGCCTCGGGGTGGAGTCTCCAGTCCCCTGGCCTCAGCTCCTGCCTCGACAGGATGTCTGCCCCCATATTCTGGTCCCCAGGAATATACACTGCCCTCAGGGAGAGTACCTTCCCCAGAGACCACAGGAGGATCTGGTGCGCCAGTTTGCAAAGCGGACGCGACCGCAGACCCCCCTGACGGTTCAGATAAGAGACCACTGATGTGTTGTCTGTTCGTACAAGCACATGATGGCCCCTCAGGTCTGGGAGAAACTGTCTCAACGCATTGAAGACAGCCATCATCTCCAGGCAATTGATGTGCCACGAAAGATGATGACTTTTCCACAGACCCTGAACCGAGCGGCCTTCCATTACCGTTCCCCAGCCGGTGAGGGAAGCATCTGTCGAGATCGTAACACGATGGCAAAGAGCTCCCAATACCGGACCCTGGGTTAAGAACCAATGTTTCCTCCATATAATTAAGGCACGAAGGCACCGCCGCGTGACCTTGATCATACGAAGTGGGTTTCCCCTCGGGGAGAACCCTCTGGTCCTTAGCCACCACTGTAAAGGTCTCATGTACAGCAGGCCAAAAGGTATCACGTTGGACGCTGCCGCTAAGAGACCCAACAGTCTCTCGAACTGTTTCACAGTGCGTGACTGGCCTAGCTTTAGCTCTTTGGTGGCTGTCAGAAAATTTACTAAGGGAACCAGCCTCTCGAGGCTGGTCTCTGGTGTTATCGAGACAGCCAATTCCGGAGCCTGAAACATAATGGCAGGAACTACCTGAACTGGCCGCTCTAAAGCCCCCCTCAGAGGGCGCGAAACCGATGCTGTGCCGCAGCATAGCATCAGCGACTCGCTGGAGACCGCTGCGCCCTGAAGCACCGAGGGTGGCAGGGTTGGCAGAACGGTCTCGTGAGGACCCCGAAATGGAACGGGCACCGTATAATGAGGTGTACACCGCTCTATTTCGGTCGGGGCTGTCCTCACAGGCCTGATGCATGAACATCAGGACCTTTTTTTTTTTTTTTGAGCCGAAGTCTTCTTCGCCTGAAGAACGGTCCTCAGATCCGGCTTCGACTTAGAAGACTTCGGCTGAGAGGGTTGCGTCTGTCTCCAGTTTCCACGTGGAGGTGCACGAGACGCAACACTCTCTTTCTGATGCACACGATATGATGAGCTTGATGGCTGGGGCTGCGAAACGCCCAGCAGCCCCAGGGGGCTGGACACGGCGAGGGATAAACTTTTTGAAAGCGTCCGCTTGCTTTTTTGATTCCTGAAATCTCTCGACGACCGTATGGACTGCGTCACCAAAGAGACCAGAAGGTTCAAGCGGAGCATCTAACAAAAAAGCACGATCTTTTTCTTTAATCTCCGAAAGATTCAACCATAAATGTCTCTCAGTAGCTACCAAAGCTGCCATAGACCGCCCAATTGCTCTGGCGGTCTCTTTAGTAGCCCTGAGAGAAAGATCGGTAGCCCGACGAAGTTCTCGAATATCGTCATGACTAACTCCCTCACTATTATCCAGATCCCCCAGCAGGTCAGCTTGATAAGCCTGAAGCACTGCCATAGTATGCAGACATGCTCCAGCTTGACCTGCTGCCGTATAAGCTTTGCCCACTAACACCGACGTGGCTTTGAGCGGTCTAGTGGGCAAAGCCGAGGCTTTCAGAGACGATGCGGGACCAGGGGAAAGATAGCTGGCTAAATTCTGTTCCGCCTGGGGCATCGCCTCATAACCATACTCTTTCAGCCCTCTAATTCTTGAATAAATATTAACTTGAGGGCTGAAAAGTCGTGATGAGTATGGCTTATTCCATGATTTAGAAATCTCATTGTGAAGATCAGGAAAAAATGGAAGCCCTTGTGGTGGAGATGAAGCAGTAGAAGATAAAAAGCGCTCATCTAATTTACTCTTAGGACGAGCGCCCCTATTATCAGATGGCCATTCAATCTTTAATTTATCTACAGCCCGCGACATAACATCCACCAGCTCATCATATGCTGGGGAAATAAATTGTGAATCTCTTTCCCCCATGTGTGTGCTTTCACTCTCCAAACTCATAGCATCGACCTCCTCGGAGGAAGAGCAATGAAGTAATGGAGGGCTCTCTCCCCGGGCGGAAGAAACCGCAGAGCGTGCTTCCGACACCGGGGGGGGGAGTGCTGGATCTTTCGGGTAAGGAAGGAGAAAGAGCCCTCGGACCCGTCTCCAACCCCTCCGAAAGATCCTTTTGCGATCTCCAGGAATGCATTCTCCGCGCTGCCTCGGCAGACGCGGGTCCTGATCCCTGCGGATCGCGAGCCTGCCCACTCTCTTTATCAAAGAGTGACAGGCGAGAGCGGAGCATGCGAAGCGGTAGCATCTCACAATGCTGGCACTCAGCCCCCTCGAAGGCTGAGACCGCATGCTCCACTCCCAAACAAATGACACAAAGCTCGTGTGTGTCCCCACCCGTTAAATAACGCGGGCAGGGAGAAGCACACTGTTTGTACACTTGTTTCGTTTCCATCCTTTTCCGCAACAGACAACAGTAAATAGACAGAGACAAAATGACACAGATCGCTTGCTGAGACACAGAAGCTAATGCCGCGTTTCACCGGATGTGCTCTTATGCCTTCCTGGTCATGACGTCACCCGCCCGTGACGCTCATTCTTTCCATTGGACTAGTTGACATTGATGCTCAGACGCATTCACGCTGGGGGTGTTCCCAAAGCGTCGATGACGCATCGCGAGTTCCCTCGAAAGGGAAATGTATTTTTGGCTTATGTGGATGAAAGGCAACAACTCCCAGAATGCACTTGCTTTGCTGCCCTAGGAGGCCACGCCTACCGGTAACAGAGCGCAGTAGTTAAACAGCAAGTCTAGGCTACTAGTGAGTCTCCGTGATGAGTCTGCCCGGGATTTCGAGATCGCCCAAAATGTCCGGGATTCGGCTTTTGCGTTCTACAGTCGGCATTCATCATGTTTACTGTGGCGAGCAGGACGAGGCTAGGGCCGGGGGAGAACGGCGCGAGGCCGGTGGCGTGATTACCGATGATCGACACCTGTGAGACGCACCGGTCTCGTATCTCTCACGGAGGAGCGGGAATATTCTTAGCAATGCCACCGATCACTTGTTTAGCGTTCATGTAAACACGACATTTCAGATTCACCAATCGGAATGAATTCAGTTAGATTGAAACAAAAGGTGTGCATGTAAACAATGAATGGCGACTGCAGAAAGCAAAAGCTGAATCCAGGACATTTTGTACGATCTCGACGGGAAAAAGAGGATGTATGGTAACCCCTACTACTCAGCTTTCTCCTACTAAGTTACTCAGCTTTCTCCACAGAACAAGAGCCTGCTAGCTTAGCTTCCAAAAAAAGATGTCTGACACTATGTGTACATTCTGTGAGTGAGATCCCAGCCTCTATGGGCGGGTTGAGAACATGCGGGACAGCCCCTACTACTGACTGTAGTCTTTAGCCTCTGGCCAAAAAATCCTCTGATGACGCGAAATGACGATTTTTGCGTCATCGGAGGATTTTTTCCAGACAAAAAATACATACATCTCTCGTATCAGGGGGATATGAGGGTGGAAAGCATGGTAATTTGAAAATACTACAGGTTTTCTACTAATACAAAGCTTAATGCTAAATTCTGAAGTATCCCTTTAATAATAGTTCAAATAAATTCACATAGTCTAATATTTTCAAATGGAGAACAATAATAAATGACAGGGGAGTATATCACCTTTTCATAAATGTAATCAGTTTTAAAAGGTTTATGTGTTTATATAGGGTACAGAGTGAAAACATCTACTCCGCTGAAATAAATACACAATGTCAGGAAAATAACAAAACATACATATCAAATACATCATTGAAATTACCGAATCCCTCTCACCTTGTTTGTTATCAGAATTATTAATAATGTCTCAGTCTAGTAGATTATAAAATACCTGCTGACAAAGCACTGTTTTTATCTATGCATTTACTTAGAACTTTTTAGAACTGACTGAATTAAAAGGATTATTTATTATAATTATTATTTATTTTAATTGTTTATTGGATTTAACTAATATGTCCGTCCACCACCAGTATGAACCTGACCGTCTCTCTCTCTCTCTCCTGTAGGTTTCGACACAAGCATTTTACCCATCTGTAAAGATTCTCTCGGGTGGATGTTCAACAAGCTGGACATGAACTACGACCTCCTCCTCGACCAATCAGAGCTCAGCGCCATTTACCTCGACAAATACGAGCTGTGCATGCGGCCGCTGTTCAACTCCTGCGACTCCTTTAAAGACGGAAAGCTGTCCAACAACGAGTGGTGTTACTGTTTCCAGAAACCTGACGGTGAGTCTGCAAAAAAAATGAGCCTATTGGGGTTAGTAGAGGATCTTCAGATATACTGAACCAAGAATATTTCATAATTTCAGTCACAGATACTGTTTTAAATGTGTGTTTCTTCAGGCATGCCATGTCAGAATGAGATGAACAGAATTCATTCTCAAAGCCGAAGGAAGACACTGATAGGTGGGTGGATTTGATGAACTGGTGTTAGCTCCTCCCCCTGACCAATCAGACCAATGGTTTGTGTGATTCTCTCTGTCTGTAGGGACGTATGTACCGCGCTGTACTGAAGACGGTTATTTTAAGGCCACTCAGTGTCATGGCAGCACCGGTCAGTGCTGGTGTGTCGACAAATACGGCAACGAGATTGCAGGATCCCGCAGACAGGGCAACCCTACCTGTGGTACACACACACACACACACACACAGCCTACATACACCAGTGTCATTTTAGTATCATATACTGCAGTGTTCTTCAAGCCTGCTCCTGAAGGACCCCCAACACTGCACATTTTCTTTGTCCCCCTAATCAAACACACATGATTCAACTCATCAGCTCATTATCACATCGGTTAATGAGCTGATGAGTTGAATCAGATGTGTTTGAATAGGGAGACAAAGAAAATGTGCAGAGTTGGGGGTCCTTCAGGAGCAGGGTTGAAGAACACTGTATATATTTATACACAATTATTTAATATAATAATTTAAATGAGCTTTTATTTTTATATTTTCAGTTTTCATTTTCATTTTTGTAATTTTGTTATGTGCTTTCACCATTTTTTTTAATGTCCATATAAACTTCAACTAAAATCTATTTCAGTTAGTTGCTAAAGCAAGTTGTCATTTTTATCAAGTTCTTTAAGTAGATTTTTCATCTAATATTTATATTTTATTTTAGCTTTATTTCCATTACCAAAAACTAATTTTACAAGTTTATGTTTTGTGTTATGTGCTTTTGTTATATATAGTTATTATTTTTTATATAAACTGTATACTGTATATAATATAAGTTTAAAGCTGCAGTCTGTAGTTTTTCCTCTTTGTCGCCATCTCTGTTCGAAATCTGCAATTGCAGTCATTCGCGGAATTATCAGCTTTATGTGGGTTGTGCCTCGGCACGGCACAGCGCGGATTAATCCAATGTTTTGAGGAGAGTGTGCGGCTGTCAGTCGCTGCGCCAGTGTGGATACTGGCCTTCGCAATCACAGATTCTACTTTTTGGAAATATGACCCACATAAGAATTTTCACCGGAAAATGTCATCTGTAAGTAAAAGTAAAAAAAGCATTGCAATAAATCGTGCTGATTAAATCTAACGATCTCTTATCATATCACGTCAAACCGTGCAAATTATACTTTGTTCTCAAATTGTTAAAGGGATAGTTCACCCAAAAATGAAAATTCTGTCATAATTTACTCACCCTCAAGTTGTTTCAAACCTGTATGAGTTTCTTTCTTCTGCTGAACACAAAAGAAGATATTTTGAAGAATGTTGGTGAACAGACAGTTGCTGGACCCCATTGACTTCCATAGTATCTTTTTTTCCTACTATGGAAGTCAATGGGGTCCAGCAACTGTCTGTTCACCAACATTCTTCAAAATATCTTCTTTTGTGTTCAGCAGAAGAAAGAAACTCATACAGGTTTGAAACAACTTGAGGGTGAGTAAATTATGACAGAATTTTCATTTTTGGGTGAACTATCCCTTTAATGTTCAACATCAGCATTGCGTGACTACATGTAATGTCCTTCCGATATTATCCTTGTTTTCGGGGCCTATTCCAGTCTCTTTTTATCTGTAGCCACTCCGAAGTCTTTTGCATTTTACAACAGGTGAATCTCTAGTTGTCACTGGTAATTGTCGTTTGAACCTTTCTGGATCCGCCATCAAATTGATAAGTTTAATTATATCAAGTGCTGTGAGAAAAGGCTATAAATCTCCACCTCCAACATCCTCACACTCAATATAGCTTATTCTAGCCGAGACTCTTCTTTATGTGTACAGATGTGTGTGTACAGTAGGGCTGTCAAAATTGCTCAAAAATGACGTTCGAATATTCCCTCTAAAAAAAACACATATATTCGAACTATTCGAATATCTGGTTGCGCATTTTGTCAATGACGCGCATTACGTCAATAACAGGACAAATTAATACAAAGAGACACAACTACTTCTATAGGTAGTTTATTTAAGTTTAAACATATTTGACAACGTATTAACTTACACAAAACCAAGTAAATCAACTAATGGCCAAGACCGCAGACCTTACTCTCGCTCGCACTCGCAGGCACTCTCTCTCTCTCTCTCTCTCTCGCCCTCACGCTCTCTGCGCATAACGGTTTAAATGAACAACAATAAACAAATGTTGAGTGCTGATCAAGAGTTTTGTGCAAGCAATGTAAGGTCGCGACTCTTGTCCTAAATATAGCAGGCTTCATTCGGTGATTGAAACAAATATTATTAACATTAATTGAAGTTTTACAGTATATAGAACCGACATTGAACGCTCCGAGCGAGCTGTGCTGTGGTAAACTCATGGGTAAACTGCTGCTAGCTAGCCACGCCCCCTTGGCGGGCTCTGACATGTCTGATGTAATGCTAGCTCATTGGCGCACACGTTGGAGGCGCCCGTGCCATTGGATGTGCAGTTGCCGCAGCACAGCCAATGAGTGAGCCAGACACTCGCTGTGCTAGCTGTGCAGCTGGAAAATGCGTTTTACATTTTAAGCTTCAGAATTTTGCCACTCGCAAAGCAGACAGCCGCGCCTCTGCTACCGCGCGCGTGTTTTTCCACATGATTCGAATATTAATTTTCACCTTCGAATTTCTGTTTTTTAAAACTATTCGAATATATATTCGAATTTAGAATATTCGTTGACAGCCCTAGTGTACAGATGTGACGTAATGACGCAAAGACATGCTCGAATCTCCCGCGGACATCCACCAGTACCACTGGAGTTAAAAACATTATTACAAGCTTACTGTTTTGAGTCGAGCTAAGGCAAGCAGAGAGTTTTGAACACTGGCTGGTTATGTACTTGCTCAAAAACTTATTTGGGATAATTTTTTACCCAAAAAAGTTACGGACTGCAGCTTTAAGTTGGCGTTTTTCATCTAATATATATATATATTTCAGCTTTATTTCGATTACAGAAAGCAATTTAAGTTTAAGTTGTAGTAATTTTGTTATGTGCTTTTGTCATTTTTTTTAGTTTTTGTTTTATTAAATATTTCTATTTAGATTTAATTCAATTTTTATTTCATAATTTTAGTCCTTAAACATAGTTAACAAACTTATTTCATTGAAAACGATTTTTAATAGTCTTAGTTTTAGTTAACAGTAACAGCACTGATAAATACACACACTTTGATTCCTAATGTGTGTGTGGTTCTGACATTTAAAGCTCCATTATTCAACAGTGTTTCCTGAGTTCTTTCAAAATGTATAAAACATCCTATTTTATATATAATGAATGATCTTCCTCAGAAAACACACACTATCTATCCGCCTGACACCTTCCCTTTCATCTGCCTGTGTGTGTGTGTGTGTGTGTGTGTAGAGGAGGATCAGGAGACATCTGGAGATTTCGGCAGCGGTGGTGCCGTGATTCTACTGGACGATCAGGAGGAGTCTCCGCAGCGTGGGCGGGGTCGACAGAAAGAGAGGCGGGGTCGACTCCACCCCCGCGGGACGATCGAGGATGACGAAGACGGAGAGGATGACGAGATTGGCTACGTCTGGTAGCTCCGCCCACCCATCTTCTGTTAATTAACCAGGGACCCATGTTAAAATGCACAGTTCTGAAGCCATTCCAGCTCCGCCCCTCGGACACGCCCCCTTCGTCCTGCCCCGCTCTCATTCTGGATCTGAACTTGTCCTCCTCATTCTCTCTTTCTTTAGCCGCCTCTTCATGTTCTGTCCTCTGTCTTCCCTCGTTCAAACACTCCTCTAGTGTTCTAGATGCGGCTCTAGACGGTAGACGCGCATGACGAGATTGTTAAGCATTTCGGGGCTTCTTACCAGTTCTACGTAAGATCTTTTAAAAGGGTTCGTTCTCAGTGGTGGTATGCATGAACGCCACTGTAGAATGCATGAAACTGAGACCTTTGAGGGTGAGGATCAGGTGGGCTTAAGCCAAACGCGCACTACAAGACTGAAGCTCATCATGCTTTCATGTTCTAAATCTGCCACAAGAGGCTGCAGATCGTAGCGCATGCTCGTCAATAATGGTCTCTTTGTGTGAGACACGTTGCAACTAGTCAGACATGCTATAATACATTTAAAACTATTTAAAATCTGAGTAAAGAGCAACAGCAATGAGCTAATGAGATTGCGAGAGAGTGTAAAAGTAGGGTGAGACTTTTGTTGAAAATGATACAACTTTTTCCAAAACACTTTTTCCAACATATTTCTGGTTTCTTTTTCTGCCACAGAAATCTGTGCAAAAATGACCCGAGCCCTTCCTCTATGTGGTTTGTGTGAACCACCTTCCTCTTGTGTGAATGACTCTGTGTGAGAATGAAAGAGTTTGGCTGATGATTGGTGAGTGTAGAGTCACAAAAACAACACAAGAAACTGTGAGTGTAAATGTGCGCAGGATGATGAGCTTCAGTCATGTTGTGTGTATTTGACTTTATGCTGCTTTCACGTCATTTCACAACTACTGTAATTAGAAGTAGAATTTTTTAAATCTAATATTTATATTTCAGCTTATTCAGATAATTTCCATTTACTCGAGATGCAGAACGACATAAGATATTAAGTCTTGTTTTCTGAGAAATTGATCAAAATTAAGTGAGTTCATTCTTAAACAATAACAAATATCTGCCAATGGGGTCAGAAAAATGTAATAATAATAATAATTTGACCATTTTAATGAACTTCAAGTAAATTTTTCTGACCCTATTGACAGATATTTTTTTCTTTCTTGTTTTGAGCAACTTCTTGAACTTTCCAAAATCAGGCATACATTTTTCAGAAAACAAGACTTTAATGTTTCATGTCATGTTGCACTTGAAGTAAATGTATCTTGATTTAAGATGTTTAGATATTTGTACTGGAAATCAAGACAAAAATGTGCACTTTTTTGTGTGTTGACCATTGTGGCATCCTGTAAAAACCACCATAACAGCAGCAGCTTCAATGCTTCAATGATTAACTTTGACTGCCTGTTGGATATGATTTCATTTGATTACAAATTAAATCTGTTTTCTTTGTTCTTCAATATTTTGCAAAAGAATATAAACATGAATTAGTGTATTTACCATAATTGATGCCATAGTAGTAAATAACATGCGAACAGAATCTGGTAATTGCAGTAATTCTGACACGATGTGAATGCAGCACGTCGGCTGTGAATCATCATTCGTTAGTTGTTTTCAGATGATTTAGATTCAAAGTCCTTCATTCTGTTTTGTAAGGACTATTCAAGTGGATCGTGACCTTTGCGTCGACTCTCTTTGCGATACGTTCACTGAAGCTTGAGAGTTTTGGCTTGACAGAATTCAGAAGCGATCAAACGGCTCGTCAGCCTGACCTTTTTAAAACCATTACCGAACGCTTCCTCTCGCCGAAAAACAGAAGGCGAATGAAAAAGCTCTCTGCGTGACGGCTGCTGCGAGATGGATCTGGTGTCGTTAGCACATCGGTGATTTTTGAAAGAGTTCTGGGCCCTGGAGTCACAATCATTCATCTCGTTCTGCATTCGTCATTTGATCAAATCTGAAATAGTTTGATCCGGCCCAATATGTCAAGCTTAAACAGTTTTATAAGCACACGTGAGGTTCATACGGCTGGTGGAAACGGAATCATGGTTAGTTTTCCGCTTCTGATTTGCATATGAAATTTGAAATTGAATTCCCCCGTTTTTTTTTGGCAATCTCACCACTTGCACAGCACCGATTTCAATCCCACAATCCCCTGCTCGGCTCATATAGAGAATGAACTGGCTCTTTTCGGATGATCCACGAGGCTCAAACACTAACACTGCAGAAGAGTTTAGTGCTGATATCAGATCACAGCAGCTTAGTTCTGTTCCTCTGACTCTACACACACTCGTTTCTCATCTCTCCGGCACGTCTTTTCTCAGTCATGTCAGCCGCGTTTTGGAGCGCGAGTTCTGGAGGTTCTCCGCAGAAGGAGATGTCTCGCTCAGTGATCATAGACGGCGCTGCAGATGGATTATATGAAGCGTTTTAGCGCCCATAGGGGACGTTTCTGGGTGCCCCTGAGGGATTATGGGTAACAGAGGAACGAACTGATGGGCTTTTGGCTTCCTAACTTCTTTATTCTTTATTTTTCTGTTTTCCTTTTTCATTCCCTACGGAAATGATTATTTATCTCAGAGTAAAAGACACATTTGCTAGATACACATGATTTCAGAGGAATATATAATCAGACAAAAAGCATTTACTCACCCTAAGTTATGTTGTTCCAAACCTGTATGATTTGTGTTTTGCCTTCTGTAGGAGGTTTTCAAAGAATGTTTTTTTTTGTCCCATTAAAGCATCTTAAAAATAAAGGTTCTTTATTGGCATCGAGGGAACCTTTCCGTTACACAAAAGGCTTTCTAGTGGGAAAAGGTTCTAGAGAATATTCTTTACACTGTAACACAGTGTCTACATCAGACACAAGCGGTGCGACACGACAAGAACAAACAGAACCCATTATGATCAGTGATGCTGTCTACACTGGATGCGACGCGACAGATCCCCGATTCCCTGTTGTATTTATGACATACTTCAAGCGCTCGTACTACTGACACGGAGAACAAATGGATTTGCAACGGTCGCTTTGTCGCATCCCGTGTAGAGTAGACAACCACCAGCTGTCCGGTGTAGACGATGCAAGAAAAATGGTTATTTTAGCCATTGCATTTCAATGGTGTTGCTGTGAAAACCCTCTTTAGGAACCTTTATTTTAAAGTAACAGCAGTCCATGTGACTAATGCACTAGATTTAATGTCCTCATAAGACGCTTTATGAGGAACAGACCCACATTTAAATATATGAAAACATTAAATATGACACCAAACACCATTGGTTTTCATGTGATAGGAGAGATTTGACAGAAAGTCACGCACGTGTGGAACAACATGACGGTTTGTCCGTTGAATTCCCTGAAATAGGGCTGCATGATTTGGGCTGAAAAAATCTAATTGCTAAATGAAAACTGTGATTTAAAAAAAGCTCCAGGTTTGCTGTGCTTGTTTGTAGGGCTGCACAATTTGGCTAAAATTTTGTCATTTTATATCGATGTCTATAAAATAATATTAATAATAACAATTTAACGTTTAGAGCCCTTAAAAGCCCGGTTTAGAACTCCTTCTCGTTACAATTTTGGGAAGATGCTTGGCATGTTTTCTAATAAATGCATGTTAAAAGTGACCCAAAGTCATATGTATTTAATTAAATCACAGCCTTTGTGATTTAATACTTGTACTAAGCCATATCGCGAATTCGGTTTTATTTCAATCAATCGTGCAGCCCTATCCTGCAATATGAGCATCAGGCTACAGGAAACCCATCTTTCTTCCATTCTAAATCTCTCTCTCTCTCTGTCTATCAATCACATTCTCATGATGAGCTGAGAGCGTCTCACACACACACACACACACACCGTATCTGATCTCTGCAGAACTGCATCATGGACTTCTGATGATAACAATGACCTTTGACCTTTGAGGTGACCTCTCCCCTCCTCTAGTGCTGCTGTGTGTCTGATGCCTGGCCTGCAACTGTAAACTTCCCCAATCCTGTCCCGTCCCGCCTCTGCCTGCTTCGCTCCTGTACAAAGGTGCAATAAAAGCTTCGTCACGATGTTTTCACTTATTTTACAACACACGCACGCACACACACACACACATACACAGGTGACCCGAGCGCTCACACCTGCAGCTACAGATGAAACAGTCGATGGCCATATTTGCAAGAGTTTCCTTTGTTAATTCTCTATATTTTTTACTCTGTAAAGACAATAATTAATGTGTAAAAAAAGAAGAAAAACGCTGAATGTTCAACTGGAGATGTAATTAATGACGTCATGTGGCTTCGTCCATTTGCCTTGCCTGAGTCTGGATGTGTAAAAACCCTCCTGTGGTCCTGAGATCAGTGTACAGACCCTCTTCTCGCTATTTGTCTGTCTCTCTATCCGTCTGTCTCTCTCTCCACTCAAACAGTGCCGGTGTTCGCACTGGCCCAATATGGGTATTTCAACAGTCACACCAAATTAATGAAATGAAATAAATACCTACACATATTAAAAATAAAGGTTCTTCATTGGAATTGATGGTTCCATAAAAACCTTTAACATCCATCCCAGACAGCAACATAGTGTCGGCACAGAACCACGTGGGCCGGATCTGGGCCGTCACTATGTTGTTCTCTGGGATGAAATCTTGTGATTCCACAAAAGGTTCTTTAGATTTTAAAAATGGTTTAAGAACTGTTTCTTCTATTGCATTGCTTTCGGAAAGTTTATTTTTAAGAGAGTATTTTTCAAAATTGTTCTCAAAAACCACTTCAGAGTTCGAGAATTTACTGCCCAAGTGGACATTGTTATGGGTCTGTGATCTCAAACATCGGCCCCAAATATCGGCTGGTTACTCATTAGTTAATCACTAGCTCTGGTTCAGAAGTAAATGTGACCCCTGCTGGTTTGGATTCAGTAACATCATGTTTAGCAGAGTCTCCAGCTGAACACCGGCCCCGTTTCAGTGGTTTCTCTCTGTTTTCGTGTTCTCCCGTCATTTCCCCCTCCTGATCGAGAGTCCCAATCGGAATGTTCTTTTTCTGGCCTGATTTGTTTGCTCTGTTTGGTTTGTTTGACTTTTTCTTTCTTTTATTTTTTTATTTTTAACTGTATAATGGTTCCTTGAGAAAATGTTTGTCTGAATAAAACTGGAGTTTGTCCTCGTCCAGTTCATCTCCAAATGAGTCTTTTCTTGTGACTTGTGTAGGAAACTGGTGGCTGTGAATCAACTTAAGGTTTGAGAACTGGTTCTTATTTAAAAAATGATAGAATTGACCAGTTTTTATGGCGTTCGGTTCCATTAGCTGTTCTTGAACATCTGAAACGCTATCATTTAAATCCATCAACAGGAATGTGAATTTTCATTTTATGCCGAATTATTCCTCCCATGTGGATACATTTGGACGTTTTCTGCAGAACAGATTGAAATATGACTCTCATCTAGAAAAATGTAATCCCTCCACTGCAACCTTAATATCATCAATGATCTTCTCCATGTAGTGATGTATTGATTGTTGTCTGAGACACGATTTCCCATGGATACGCCCTCAGAACGGCTCGCTCACGAGCCACGCGCATCCGTCAAAGCTA